CGATACCTTGTCTTTGCATTAAACGTGATACACCTTGTAGCAAAATATCAAAATTGTAGCTTGATCAGAAACGCGGGAAATATTCTGTCTAAACCATCGAATATGAACATTTTGTCATTTTGTTTTGGTCAAAATATCGAATATGCTGCAAACTGACGAAAATGGAATATTCGATATTTTGTTTTGTATAAATATAACTAAAGGCATATATATGTACAATGCATAATGACGAATGTGTCACATTCATTATATTCAGTGTTGTATTTGATACAGTTATTCAATTATAATCTGGAAACTGTCGAAAATACTAAACATTGCTGACAAGAACAAAACGCACGTGTTCACAATTTGTGAATTATTGCTTCCAAGAAGTGCTTTCGGTGAGGCACTTTATTGTTTTGTTTTTTAATGTGTCACATACATTAGTTCAGAGTTGTAATTGATAAAGTTATTCAATTATAATTTGCAAAATGTTAAAAATACTAAACATTGCTGACAAGAACAAAACGCACGTATTCACAATAATTGTGTGAATTATTTCTTCCAAGAAGTTCTTTCGGTGAGGAACTTTATTATTTTGTTTTTATCGGTTTTTCATTATCTGATTATTCAGTTAACTGGGTATAGCTAAACCAAAAACAGTGATGTTGTCAAGCGAGAATTATTTAAAAAAATATTAAACAATGCTGCCTTTGGGACGTCGTCCACACAGTGTATATGGTACCAGTATCGGAAAAATGAAAATAACAAACTTTACATGAAGACTAGCATTGACGGAAACTTTTTATCTCTTGAAACCATACAAAAAAGGGGCCAACAAAATAGTATAAACTCTGTTAAGGTATACGACGAAAGACTCCCAATCACGGATATGAAGAAAAAAAACCTCTTGTCACCATGTGAACAAAACTTAATACCTAGGCCATACCACCAATATTACCAATCTTTACAATAATCTAATACTGCCAGAGATTGTCTTCCAGAACCTGACGCAACTGAAGACAATGATAACGTTGAATCTAAAATTTAAGACTTTAATTTATCATTATTTTACTACTGATTACTTGAGGTATCTACAGGACGTGAAGTTCCATAATTGTATTGTGATTATTTTTAACTTTTCTAATTACATTAATTTTCTGTCAATACGTACTTTCATAAAAATACTTTTAATAATTTGTTTATACATGATTTTCCCATTTTACCCTATAACTTCAATTTTTAATTAAATTATTTGTAATAAACTTTGTAAGAACATTGAGATTATTTTCATTTTCCTCCTTTTCAATTAAGAATATTAATGTGTTAAAATTAGACCAATATGAACTGTCGAAAATGCCACATTCGCAATTTTGAAACATTGCACCAAATAAATGTGCTAAAATTATACAAATATGAAATGTCGAAAATGCCACATTCGCAATTTTAAAACATTGGACCAAAACAAATCGTTGATTAACACAAAAAGCAAAATAACGAATGTGATTTTATGGAAAGAAGCAAACGGTTAGCAGTTTTATTCTGATATCAATCTAACAAGAATCAAACATTTATTTTTAAAAATATAAAAAATTTTCCATTTGTCAAAGCGCTGATTTAGAATTCTCTAAAAAAGAGTTATTTTGCTCTCCTGAAAAGTACCACTTTTCACATTCGATAGTTGGAAATGGTAGGGACGATATATAGATATAGTCAAGATATTCTTGAATATTTGTTTGTGTCAACTGTGGCAAAGGTATATCTATCTGGAGATTTTATCTTTCAACAGGATGAAGCCTCATGCCATACAGCTAAATATATAAATATATACAGCTAAAGAAATAAACCTCAGCATACTTTGCCATAACTATGTGCTGAATTACAAGAAATATGGGATAGTTTCACCCCTGACTTCTGAGAAGGCCTAGTTCATACAGTCCTTAATAGAGTTTAGACTGTTATTCAAACTACAGGCAAAGTTACTCCTTATTAACTTTTATTTTAATTTGTTAAAAAAAAATGTCAGCATTTTTTTGGCTAACAAACAATAAATTAAATATCAATCAATATAAAATTAAACTATAAAAATAATTCCATACATCATAAAAAATGTTGTTAATTTCATATTTACAATTAAAATAAAAGGATTTCAGCAAATTTGTATTTTATTTGCAAAATAACTGCTTGTTCCAACATATCGCACACCTAGTTCAATAGTGCCACAAGTCCAAAATACAATAATTTCGAGAAATGAGCAAAACGTTCTGTAGCAAACGAGTTATGCCTTGTAAATAATTTATTTTTAGAATGACTGGCTTTAAAATTACAATTTAGTTAGCAAATTATACGCAATTTATTCGCTCGATCTTATTACAATTTATTAAAAATAAAACGTTAATTGTATTTTGATAGTTATGGCGATATTTCATTGTGAAGAATAAAAAAAGTCAACTAGTTCTTACAAAAAATATTTTTATTATTATTATTACAAGTATGTATGAACATTTTTTTAAATTACTATTAACCAAGTCCTTATAAAAATTGTGATGAACAGCTAATATTAAGTTTTTATTGCACAGTTCCAAAAGGTGTTGCTTGGTTTTTGCGGATATCGATGGAGGCTTTATGTACGCCTTTTTTAAATCGATTACTGCTTCCACAGTTGCTGAACGCTCCCTTGTCGATGCTTTAAAATGGACCTCTTCGAACTCATCGGTATCATAATCTGTTTTATAGAAGAAAGATCCAGGATTGCTTTTGACAACTTTAATAACTTGGATATCATTATAGACTACCTTTTCATCTTTTGTATTCTTTGTAAAATTTCCTCCAACTTTTGAATTGAGATCTTTAAAGTCATAAAAGTCTTCTGTTGACATTTCTTTTACATTGTAAGGATTTCCCTCTTTTTTGCAGATCTTATGATGACAGGCCATTGTGCAGGAAAATAAATGGGACCTGTTTTAAGTATTTTCTTCTTTTACCTCTCAATAGTTGCGTGCATGGCGTTCCCTTTATTTTGGGTATGTCCCACTGTTAAAAATTTATGTGTGATTGATTTAACATTAAATTTTCCAATTGCATAGAGATACATGGTAACTATAAATTTATTTTTATTTTGCCCAACACAATTGTCGCTATAAAATATAACGTCTTTATCATTACAATGATTTGAAAGATAATCAAACAGACACGTAGCTATTTCGTTTGAGCCGCGGTTAGCAATAGCCTCATGCCAAAAGTAACAGTAAGCAGTCTTTTGCAATATCTGAAAAATTGTAAAGTTAAAGCAGTTCAGGCGGCATTTATAGTAGAAGCTTGAAACATCTCCACAAGGTGTAGGAAGGATCGCCTGCAAATCAAAACAAGCTACCAATACTTGAGAATCATCTTTTGCTCTTGCTAGATCTTGTGCTTTTTCTTCTCTGCTTCTAATTTTATTATGGATATGTTTATTATAAGTTTGATGAAGAGTAGCTTGCTGTTCAGCAGAAGAATTTTTATATGATTCACAAATTGCGCACTGATCTTTTTTTGGCTGAAAGAAAGTTATGTTAAACTCAGTTTTGAAAATATGCTCGTAAGTGCATTTTTTAGCCACAGGCCTTCCTTCACTCTCTTCCTGTAGTTTGTAGTAGCGATACATTTGAGCTAAAGTAAGTGAACCGTCTATGTATTCCTTTGTAGTTTGTGCTCTAAGATAATGTGATTCTACCCTTTGGAAAGAATTTATGTGTCTCTTATTTTGTTTTTCACCTGTCCAGTAACCGTTTCTCGTTTCATAAAATTTCCTCTCTTATCCTTGTCCACAGATCCTTTACCATCTGATTTTCTCTAAGTTGTTCTAATAAATTTGTCACCAATGTCCAAGGTATTCATGAAAAACTTTTTGCAGACTTTAACTTTTACTCCGTGTATTGTTAAAAAATACGCTAAATTCATACCGCGGTTACTGCCTTCAACCGTTTTTCTGTATTTAGTAACCAACTTTTTCAAATGGAAAGCAACAAATTATCTTTGAAGAGCGTTGTCTTTCAAATTCCAGAAACGTGAATGTATATCATATCTATCAGCATTGCTGAATTTTTGGCTGCATTTTGTACGACATTTTTCTCCACATGCAGGTTTTAAAGTCTTCCCACGTTTTTCTTTGTTGCCTTCTGTAATGTAGGGTAGCCCAGAGTTAACTTGCAGTTTCTTAATATTTCGTTTTCATTCACTTGGTTTTGGTAAAACCTCACTGTGATTTTTGTTGAAATACAAACCTCCGTCAACACAAACGAGATGTCATTCATAATCTCAGAAACCTCTGAATTGTCTCTCAGATTCTCATCATCTTTAAGATAGCTTTGCAAAGCTAGTCCAAACATTTTTCTTGCCCTTGACATCGTGTTTGATAATAAAGTTAATAATAATATCACTATACACTGTTTTCAGACTTTAAATCAAATAGTTGTACACGAAAAACGTGGATAACTCGTGCATAAATAATTGAGAACTGATAAAATCGTACCACTAATCTAACAATTTTTGCAGTTGTGGCCATATTGAGTTACATCGGTTGTATTGTGGCGGAGTGTATTATCGCCACATCTCCTAGTTATGGCCATATTGCATTTCAAAACCCTACAGTGTAATACCGAAATATCTTACTTTATACTTATCCAAGACAATATTTCAGTTAATGTTGTATTGCATTAGATGGGGTAACATATATGCAACCTTTTTAAAGCCTTAACTCAAAATTGGAATTTTTGGAGTTGTGGCAGTATTGAACTAGATGTACGATATAGTTGTTAGGGCTCATAATATCAGTACAATTATTTAAATGAATTTGCGTTGTTTGAATTTGCATGCATTATGTTATTAGTTGTTGAAATGCTGGGATTCCCTGAGTTACCTGTGTAACCTTTCCCTGAAAGTAAATGAGGAAAAAACTATTTCTCTACTTTATTTTGTAAATAGTATAAATTTATAGGATATAAGTATTTAATGGTAAAAATAAAAGAAACTTATTAAAAAAACAAGCTTATATTACAGAAGTTTTATCCGTAAGAATTTGCCTTATGTTTAGGTAAAAATTGAAAGTTTTCTGGGACTTTTCCCAACAGCATTTCACTAATTTTAATCCAGTCTGAAGCTGCAGGAGATGCCATTAAAGTTTCTAGTTCATCTCTCCCTTTAAAATGGGGAGGTCTTTCGTTTATCTTCTGAGGAGGTGTTTCCAATAGCCCTACTGGTATATATCTATACAAAAATGACAGCCATTCCAACAAAAATCTTCTAGTATTTTCTACACCTGTGTTATCAGATCCCCAGTGTTCAAGTCCATAGTTGGCATATTTCTTTATAATATCAAACCTTTCTGAGCTGGATATATCCCACAGCTTCTGCTCCTTTATTTCAGTAAATATCCAAGGTTTTATTAATGCCCCTCTTCCTATCATTACTCCTGCGACATGGGGAGCTGTTTCTTTTGCTTTCACATAATCTTCATAACTAAGAACATCGCCATTGCCTAATACAGGCAATGGATCAGCTGCTTTTGCAACTTTATCTATATATTCCCAATTTGCTAGTCTTGTGTACCTCTGCTCTCTAGATCTTCCATGAATTGTTAGGAGACTTGCTCCATAATCTCTCAACTTTGGTGCCTAAAAAATATAAAAACAGTGACCTTTCTGTGTGGACATAATAAACCACATTACTATAAATATTCACCCTCTTTTTGAGGTTAGACAATTCTTATAACATAAAAAAATAAACAGAAAATTATGTTATTAGTAAAATAGTAGAATGTAGCGGCTACATTTATATAATATCATCTGTAATGATGAACATAGACTAATAAATAACTTACCAAAGTATGTGCTATATTTTCATTGTTGTAAACACCCATTCTCATCTTTACAGTGAATGGAATATCCAAAATAGTGCTCATACTTTTGACACAACTTTCCAATACTCTAGCTCTTCTCATCAATCCACATCCAGCTCCAGTTTTATATACCAGTTCAATTGGACATCCCATATTCAAATCAATGAAATCAACATCGATCTCTTTTTGTAAAAGCTGCCCACACTTTGCCAATAAGTAGGGATTATTGGCACACAGTTGTACTCCAAAAATGTCTTCTGACTCATGTCTTTTTAATAGGGCCCATTCTTGTCTCATACCTAAAACATATAATGTTCAGGCATCACAAAAAAATATATATGTAATAACAATAATCTCTAACATACACATCTATACATATGTATTTATAAAAGAATAAAAGGAAATCACTTGTCTGCATAAGAATATACTGACCCTGTAATAATGAAGAGCACATGGCCATTTCTCCACAAGTAACATCAGCTCCAAATTGCTTGCAAATTCGTCTAAATGGAAGATTCCCTACAGTCGTCAATGGACTTAATACCAATTTGTCTTTCCAGTCAATCTTTTTCTTCTCTCTTTGTAAAAGTGATACCAAATCTTCATCTGTAACACATCCAATACTGTTCTTATCTGTTTCTTCACCTTCATCTTTATTATTCTAAAAATATTCAATTAAATTATGTACTTATACTGTAACTGCAGGATTATAATTGTTTGTAAGTGTTTTTAAAAAAATTATAAAATACCTTTCTTAAAGAATCAACATACTTTACACACTTCTCAGCCAAATTAAAATCATATGTTCTCTTTCGAAGTGCTACTTGGATATCATGTTGAAGAATATTCCTAGTATGTGGACCCTTAGCTTCATAGTCTAAATATTTTTGCTGTTCAACTTTATTCCGACCTTCAGCAATATGATCACTGCCAAACCTACAAGATAGTCCTCTGATGCATTTTCCAGAAGTTTGGAAGTTATAGCAAGAATTGTCTATATCCTTGGGTTTTATTTCAAGATACTTTTCAACATCATGTAAAAATTGACAGTTATTTTTGTCACATTTCGGAATTTCATCTCCTTTAGATATATTAATCAAGCTATTACAGAGTTCTTTACTTTTATCAAGTCTGAATGTTGGACCTCTTGATTTATTCTGACCCTTTAACTTATTCTTTGAAAACTTTTGTCTTTTGGAAGGTGGTTCCAATGATTCTTCTCCATTTGTAGAATTGTCAATAGAGTTCTTGTCTTTTTCAGAGACATGCTCCAAATTTAATTCTCGTTTTTGCTCGGGGATGATGTACCTAAAATATTTACATTTTATATAAAAAGAAATTAAGAGATATTATGAATTTATTACTCTGTTTTTATTTTACATATACCTTCACTGGCCATATTCATATGTTATAGAAATAAGGGTAATGTAAATAACAAGTTTTGTTGAACTCGAAGTTTTTAAATTTGTCAAAAATACCATGAGGAATAATGACAGCAGGAAGGTTTACCTCTTCTTCTTCTCGTTTCAAAGTGAGTATGTTGGTTCAACTGGTTCAACTAAATAACCAGTACGGAAATTATGTAAAAAGCTGCATTTATAATAGAATACATTATATCAAAGGAGTATAATACCTATTCTAATGTAAAAGATTACACAAAGCAATGAAACATTTTTGGAAATAACGGTACATACGTATAGAACAATAATAATTTAAAACAACTCATGTCATTCGTCAAATCGTATTTATTCTATAAGTTGGCAACGGTTTCCTGCTCTCTAATGACAGTTGGTATTGTCCTATTCCTTCCTAATAAATAATGGCTTCTTGTTAAGGCGGTGGGTGGTCGAGAATTTTATAATTTGCAAGTTTAGTGATAATTTTTGTATTTAAAACCTTCAATTGCAGTAGTGTCAGAGCTCTAGACGGTAAATAGTAATGATATATCCTAATTTCGTTCGTGCATTGTGCTCTTTTACTTATTGAAAGTTCTAACTTGTCATAAAGAATAATGATCTGCTCGAATATTATCTAAAATGAGTTAATAACACTCATTTTGTTAGAATTAATGATCCACCGCCGAAATGATGATGTGTTTGGGTGTTAACTAATGGGAGTTGTGAATTAACATGTAAGTAATCTTTAATTTATCCAGACATTAGCTAGAGTGCATTTGCCCAGGTACAGTCATTACAATGAACAGAGGTGCATTTTTGGAAAAAATGAGTGTACCTGGTTAATTTGAGCTTTGATTGTCAATTATTTAGCATCATATTTGCATATTTACATAAATTCTTTTCATAACTGGTTATTTTTCTCACAGTTTATACAGTGTTCTGACTACAATATTGAAGTAAGATAAATAATTGCCAAGATTTGACTACACAAATTAATCAAGTTTTAAAATATAGATGTTATATTTGAAATTGTCAGATATTTATTTGATTTTGAGAAAAATGTGGAAAAATTATTGATTTATTGTCACATACTATTATAAGTTGATTTAGTTTTTGTATTAATATCAAAAGTGCCCATTAAAAAGTAAGATCTGTTAATGGAAGAAAATACCCAATTGAAGTCATCCAATAATGATCAGTTGTAAACCTGTTTTATGAAAATTAGTGAAGCTCTTTAAAATTACTAAGGTATTTAGTTACTAATTTTAAAATTTTTCTTTATTCCACTTTAGGCTTTGCTTTTTTTTGTTTATTTTAGTTTTGTTTTCCATTTTTCTGTTTTTTTTTTGTGTTTTGCTTGTTGCAATACATTTTATTTCTTTTATTTTTATGCATAGCTCAGGCAGTAAAGAATAAAGAAAATAAAAATCCAGTTTTGAAAGTTGAGTAAACAATGCATTTACACCAAAATGCAAGTACTTCGGAACCACAAATTTTTGAGTATTAGTATGCTAATTAAAATATAATCTGAGGTACTTGAAATAGATTTGTTTCATGTTGTTACGCATCATTGAATCTCTGAATACCTGCCACATTGCTTGGATACAAATAGAAAACCTATCTACTAAAGTGAATAAGTCAAAGGCATTGGCATTGCTATAAATACCCTCTGAATTAATTCATACATCAGTTTAATCTAGGAAATATCAATAAATATATAAAATTGTTCAATTTCTGACAATTGTTCAATCAAAGATAATTACTGACCCTGGAATATTGAACAGCTGCAGTCACTGAATAGTTTACACCTTCAATTTTACATTGCAATACTAAATCCGCAATATCATACAAATTTGCTAAACATCAAAGTTCTTGTCACAAATTTTAAGTATATTGAAAAATAAAATAAAAAGCTATTAAATGCATTCAAAATGCTTAGAATGCAGTTGAATGATGTACAGAAACAAGAGCAATTATCAAACTCAGGGAAGGTTGGTCATTAAGGCAAGTTGCTGCAGATTTGAACATGAGCTGAGCAATATGTGTATATGGAAGATCAAACAAAGATGGAATCATTTTCACTTACAGCACAGTTGGGTGGATCAAGAGGGTAAAAGATGAGGTGTTAGTAGATTATCTGAGAGAAGCTTCTTTTTCTTCAGCTCAAAAAGACAGAGAAGAGAAAGCATTTCTTGGCAGCATTCAGACTGCAGGTAGAAGGATTAAAGCAAGTGAATTAATAAATTGTGAGGCTGTAAGGAAATTTTTTTTATATGAACTCATAAAATTTGGTTTAACATTGCATTTTCCAATGAAAAAGTGAAAAATTTTAATCATATAGCAATGGTTGAATAAGAATTTATAGGCCAAGAAATCATAGGTTGTTCATCAATGGTATATTCATCATTTAAGAAATAATGTAGGATTCTCTGGAATTTAGAAGAATAATTAATTAACAGGATTGTATTACAAATATATTCTTGAGAACATAATGTTGCCATTGGTTATCCAGGGATTCTCCAATAACAACTTCGCCTTCCAACATGAAATGAGTAGAATTGTTGAAGAATGGTTGGAAGAAACTTATGTTAATGTTCTTCTATGGTCTTTCCAGAGTCCAGACCCTAACCCAGTAGAAAATGTGTGGGCAGAGTTGATAAAGAAATTAAATAAAAGAATCCTTAGGCCACGGACTAGAATTGAACTTTGGGAAATAATGGTTGGAGCTTATTGAATATAACATAAGTGGATTCAACATATTGATTATAACATAAGTGGACTATGAACACAAGATTGCAATTTGTATTGACAATAATGAGGCTTCCACCAAATATTAATTGTATTACTGTTTATCATTATTTAACATATTGATTACCACTAATTTTTAGTTGGATTTAGCATGGAACCAATTTTTTTTATAACAGCTGTATTATAACAGCAGCTCTTCGTCATCGGCACTGGTGTTTGAGTGGTGTTAGCTCTAATAAGAGCCAGTAGCAGTGGACAAGTTAATATAAATTAGATCTTAAATCAAATGGATATTTTTAACTCAGACTTCCTTATTTTCATTATTAAGAAGATAATCCATTTTAAAATCCACTAGGAAACTAAGTTCCTGTAGCTGGCTGTTTACCATGTATCACAATTTTTTTTTATTTAAAATCCTTTATAAAAGGTATATAATAATTACAATTACAAAACATTTTCAGAATTGATATTCATCATCAATGTAACTAAGTGTACATGTTTTGAGCTACTAAAATATTTGGGTAAAAACCCATTAAATGTTGTTATTTTAAATTTCTGTTACTTTATATGTTCTTATAAGTTGAGATGTTATAGTTACCATTGAGATGGAATTGGTGACATGGCAACATACAACTCTACATGAGGTTGCTTGGTCCTGGGACAAAGTGTCTATGGGGACTTGTTGATAGTCTATGCTGATAGTTTTTATAACAGTCCATACAGTTAATACACCTTTCTAAACTCATGTTGAGTTTTTTGTTAGTTCTACTTGAGATTATTTCTTCTTATATTATGACATTCATTTCTGCAATGTCACAGTATCAGTTGATAATCCACTATGTTACTTCTTGTTACTACTGTAAAGGTTCTTTAAATGTTGAACGTAAACTGAAATGCCATTATTTTTTTAGCTTTAACAATGACAAATTGAGAAACTGGCAAAATTCGCATTAAATTAAATTAGTGGTGAATATCACCATTAGCGATGAATCAAAATCATCTTATCAAAATTTGTTGATAGCAAACAATTATGCTTTTCTTCATGAATACCAGCTTTGAGAACAGCCACTCACATCCTCATCATTTTGCTTGTTATCTGTAACAACTTTCTCATAACAGTTGTTCTCTTCTTCTGAAGTGGAGAAGAATCATCTTCAGGAAACTAGTTTTGAAATGTGGGTCCAAGAAAAGTAGTAACCAAAGATTTGTCATTTTGTAGTGAAGATGTCATTATCAAGAAATTTATTGTTCTATTTGCAGTCTTTTCCTTCTCTAGGTATTTCCTGCATCTCTGCAGTAATCTGTTCAAATGGTTTAAGGAGTTTGATGCATTGTTGAGAAGGTGTTAAATTATTTAACGATTCTTGGTCTGCTATGTGCTTACCTATTTATTGTATTAATGTATCTTTTATTTTTATTTGTAATTTTATGTATTGTGTATTTCTTTAATGCTGCATTCTTTTATAATTTTGACATAATTGCTCTATTAAATAATAGGTAGAATTCCAGTATGTGTTTACATCTTTTACTACAACAAGAGCTTTAGTTTGTGGTTTGGCAAGTTAAGTTCTTGACGAATTGATTTCAACTTTTGCTGTGCAATTCGTCTTGCAGCAGCTACCATTGATGTTATTTCTCTTTGATACTTTAGCAATTCTTCAAAAGTTTCTTGGAAAGTAAATAGATCTTGTGTTGAGGAATATTCCATCTTTCTGTATTTAGCATAGTATTGAGTTCTTTTGCTACATTGGTACCAGTATGTGAGCCATTAAATGGCTTTATCCCTAAAATGTCATGTTCAAGAATAAACTCTGGAATATTAAGTGCCTAGTGAAACTCAAAAAACTCTCATTATTGTGCTGTTAAGTCCATATATCAGATGTCATTGATACTGCTGTTGCTCACGAGATGCTAGCTTCCATTTTAGAGCAAATTCTGACCTTAGGTCAAAGTAAAACACCCTTTAAGTTTGAAAAACATAACTGCCAACTAATAACTAATTTTTTAAATAATCTGAAAACTATTGAGTGGAAATTGAAATGTCAAAAACAATTATAAAATGTAACTTTCACAAAAATGTGATTACAATAAATTGTGGCTTAATCTGATATATACATATTTGTCTATTTTTATCTCCGAATATTTCCCAATTATCTCTCTTAGCTGCTGTTACTAATAGTTTTACATTTTTTCTTTCATTTTATAGTTATTGAAATTCTTGTTTTATCTTTCAGATATTGTTTTCATTCCTATTTCTTCACTTTTACTTGCTTTTTTGTTTCTTTGGACCACCATGCTATGCTGTCTTTCTTTGAGGAGTATTTTTACTTGTTTCACATACTTCTTTAGCTGCATCCGATAGTAAATTCTTATAGTTTTTCCAGGTGCTGTTTCTATCATTATTGGCTTCTGTTTCTTGTACTGTTCCAAGTTTTTCATAACTTTTTTCCCAAATATTTTTGCCATTTCTTTGTTTCTTATTTTATGTTCTTTTAATTGTTTTAATTGATTTTTCTTTTTCTTTACTAGGTTTCTCCTTCTTTTTTTATTTCCTCTCTTATCGTATTTACTACCTATACTAATGGCTGCCTATTTCACGTTCTCTGTGTACTTGTGTATCCATTACATTCCTTTATTGCTTTCAACTAGTATATAGTCAGTTATGGATTTCTGGTCATTTCCCCAAACAGCCCTATAGACTAGTGTAAATTGCGTCTCTTATTCCGATCCTATTGTTGAAATCTCCTACAAAGTATATTTTTCCTTTTGTTGCTTTTCTTACAAGCGTTAACTCTCCCCAAAATTCATCTTTGCTTTGTATTATCATTTTTATTTGGTCCATTATGACTATAATAGTTTTATTAAAGCTATACTCTATCTGCATTAATATTCTCTCTGGCCATGCTTTCCAGAAATGTATCTATTTTCTCATGATTTTATGAATTATGCAACCTACAACTGCAGCTGCTCTTTTGTCTTCTGATACTCGATACCTTTTTGGCAAAGTAACGTAAGTCACCAAAAACAATTTGTAGAAAAAACAATTTTTTAATTCAACCTGGTTAAACTTATTTAAATTATGACTGAAAAAACTTGTTCTACTCGTCCTAAAAAAGGTTTAAAGTAATTCTAGGCTTACTACACTTTGGCAGTACCTTTTTTAACAATAATAGTGTTAGTTTAATTGAAAAACATGATTTTCGCCAAAACTGTCACTTACGTTACTTTGCCAAAAATGTATGGATATTCTTCACCACTGTATATTAAGGTATGATTATTTTCCATTTTTACTATTCCTTGTCCTTTTTTATTAGTGTCTGATATTTCTAGTATACTTAATTCTGCTGAGTCAAACTCCTCTATTAATTCTAGATCTTTACCATTTAGGGTCTTAATTCTCTCCAATTTTCCAAATTATATGCTCATTTTGTTTGTTTGATCTCTATCTATGTGTTTTATGCTTTTCATTCTTTCATTTAGTTTAATTAACTCAACAGTCATAGTCAAGGCTTTATCAGTATTAACTTTATCATATTTCTTGTTTTTTTTTCACAAGTTATCTTAATTTTTCTGACTTCTCCACTACCCCTATATATAGTCCGTCTAGAAAGTATCCGGAAAAAAGAAAGCAGAGTTATAATTTTATGGTATTTATTTCAATCATTTGAAATATATAATTTCAATAAATAATTCATCCCATTTACTTATATAACCTCCATTTAAATATAAACACTTAACTAAACCACCTGGTACACCCGAAACTAGGTCAAGGCCATAATTTTCGGTAATGGTGTTACAGGCCTGTAAAACTGACTGAATCAAACCTTCTTTATTTCGTGGCGCTGCTCGTCCCACTTAATTTTCATCAGTACCCATATGTTTTCAATGGATCTGGAGAAGCTGCTGACCATGGAATTGTTCCCACTTCGTGTTCTTGCATCCAAGCTTGAATATAACCAGACGTATGACATCTTGCATGATCTTGCTGAAAACGCCACCCCTCTAGATAGAAAACATGAGCCGTTTCGAAAAAAAAAAAAAACATTTAGGATGTTACAATATTTCGCACTATCAACAGTACCATAACTATACAGAAAGGTGTAGCACCACCCTGATACATTGTTCCCCAAACCATTATTTCAGTGGGAAATTTGGAAATTTGAACGGTAACATTTTCTCTTGATAGGACTTTTAAATGATTTGCACCAAGCTGGAAACAACTTTCATCGGATATAAAGACTATAAGATTATTAAAATTATCTTCCCGAAAACGTTGACAAAAATATATTCTTCATTGTCTTTGCAGAGTTGTCATTGTGGTGAGTTTTTTTGGATTAAAGCCACTAAAGCATTTAAATTGTTTACGTGAATCTTACGCGGTTTACCTGAAACTGGTCTGTCTCATATCTATCCCATTTTTTATCCTTTTTATTGTCTCATACACTGCACTTTTTCCGAGTTCAGTCAACTGCACTAATTTTTTAACGTTTCGGACACCCTTTCTATACAAATATTCCACCACTTTTCTTTTTTCTACTTGCGACATTATTTCACAAACCTTAAGTCTGTTTACAAACAACAATATTTGACAGATGGTGTTGTCATGCGATTTTGTCCATAACCTACTATCGGCACAACCTACTTGATGCATTACTTTTGTCTTAAAATGTTATGAAAAGGAAATCTATTAAAATTAGGAAAAATATAAAATTCCGGATACTTTCTAGACGGACTATACTTTATATACAGGCAATAACATACCTATCTATAGTCACATTACATTTGGAACATAAACTGTAAAACCTAAACACCAAAAATCAACAGTAAATTAATAGTTTTTAATTAATAATAAGTAAATTTTTGTTAAAAATAGGATCCAGTCGTTCTATAACAACAAATCTTGTTATTTGTTTTTTAAAGCCATGGTGAAATTCACTGTATATCTGTGTGAAGTATTATAACAGTTAAAAGTACATATAAAGTTAGTCTCATTACCTAAAAAACAATAAACTAGATTAATGTACACTTATTGCATGTTCCTAGGCAATTAGGAATCACTTATATACTGTTAACTACCACTATTAGTGGATACATTCATTTTAAATAAATAAAACTTTTTATCTACAGTATAATTTTCATGTTTGTTCATGAAAAAAGGTGCATGAGATTTTTTTTATATTATGTTTTTACAGGGGCTGCTATAAAAGTCTTTGGATATATCAATATGGTAAATTTTATGTTTTAATGTCATATGCCCACTAAAGTGGTTTGGCATTAACCTCTAGATTAAGAAAATGCAAGATTTTTTTATATTCCCCTTTATTTTTTAACAAATGTGTACCTTTTGCTCACTATACTTGACAAGACTCTTCAATGTTTTGTATCTTGTCAAAAAGTAATTTTCTTTGAGATTTCCCACATAGACCATGATCTATTATTCGGTGCAAAATGTCTTCCTTTGACCAATTTATTTATTAAGTTTACCCACAGGTAATAGTGATCTGGGACTAAATCTGACAAATAATTTGCAGTTGATCAATTCATGTCACAGTTAGTATAATTTATACCAACATATTATACCCTAATTATTGCGGTACTGTTTCTCAAGTAACTAATATGAATAATTCGCATCGCAAAAACAGTCACTGTAATAATTCTGGCTGGATGGATGGTCTTGGCGTATTCATTGGGGTTTCATCACTTTTTTCCTGTGCTTGGCATGAGATTTGTCTCCGGCTTGTAGTAGTGTGCTTATGTCACATTGACAGTCAGGTATTGGCAAATAAGAGCCTCTTATGGGATACTGGAGTACTAAAAATATTGCTCGCTTAATGTTGTGTAGATGCTAACATTGAAAAGTTGCCCACAAGTTGTGTACTATTACATCTAGCTCCAGTGATTTTGTTATACATTAGCCAATCTATTTGCTATTATATTCATTGTGATATTAGAATTAGATTTAAATGTTATATATAATGCACTATATTTCTTTGTATTGAAGGTTAACTTATTATGTTACAGATATATAACAATTTCTCACTATGGCGAGAAAAGGTGACACCATACGAAGCATCAATGTATCCGTTGTGGGATTATCCGGAGTGGAGAAGGACAAAGGACATGCAGGCGTCGGTAAATCCTGTTTCTGCAACCGTTTCATGCGACCCCACGCCGAGGACTACAACGTCGACCACATTTCCGTACTAAGTCAGACCGACTTCAGTGGGAGAGTCGTCAACAATGACCACTTTCTGTATTGGGGCGAGGTAATTAAGACGTCAGAGGAAGGAGTCGATTATCAGTTCAGCGTAATCGAACAGACTGAGTTCATCGACGATTCTTCATTTCAACCCTTCAAAGGAGGTAAGATGGAGCCGTACGTCAAACGTTGCGCCTCCACTAAAATAACTTCAGCTGAAAAGCTAATGTATATTTGTAAGAATCAGTTAGGTATAGAGAAAGAATACGAGCAGAGAATTCTGCCCGATGGTAAATTGAATATCGATGGTTTTGTATGTGTTTTCGATGTAAGCATTGTGCCAAGTAGGAGTATTGAGAAGCAGGTCGAATTCGCAGCTGCTATTCTAAATAACTTGTTAAAAACTAAAAAACCAATAGTATTTGTAACAACTAAAAATGACGATGCCAATGATATGTACATTAGAGAAGCTCATAAGTTAATATCTAGAAGCGAATATAAAAATAGTATACCTGTAGTGGAAACTTCGGCACACGATAGTGTCAATATTGACGTTTGTTTCATGTTGCTCGCCCAGATAATCGATAAAACTAAAGTTAGGTCTAAAATACCATCTTACAGCGAAGCTTCTTTATCCAAAAAGGAGCTTATGGATGCTGCCAGTGAAGCTTTCATGAGACTTATCAGAGTACATGTTACTGATTGTCACGCAATGTGGTCCCAGACAGTTAAGAAATTAAATTCACACAAGGAATGGATACATTTCGTGCAGTTATTCGGATTGGATGGTACACAAAGACTGTTTCGAAGACATATTAAAAAATTAAAAGACGAGCAGCTTGCTAAGCAAATAGCGCACTATATGGAAATGTTGCCGGATGTTCTACACGAACTAATTACAGGATTTAACACTCTGTCCGACATGGATTGGCCTTCTATACAACAGTATCTCAAGTCTCATCCGAACTTTTCTCAATATTTCTTTGAGCGTCCCGAAGATTTACCTTGGTCAGAATGTTTGGACGACAACGAAGAAACTAGAATACCCTTCGATGTATTGGAGACAAGCGAAGCTGAAACGGTGTTTAAGAATTACGTCAATGTTTTGCAACAGGAGCAGAAACGTTTGGAGTGGAAGAAACAGTTCAAACAGTTACTTGAAGATACCGGTTACGTAACTCCGGGTAAGAATCTGTCCGAAGTACGAGTATTGTTTATGGGTAGAGAATGTTTTGAGGCTCTATCTGAACATGACTGCCAGAAAATATATGATACACATCAAAGAGAAATCATCGAGAATGCTAAACATAATTTTCAAGAACTGTTACTGGAACATGCAGATCTGTTTTATCACTTTAAAAGTATCGCGCCTACAGGAACTATTACTCAAGACGATATTAAAGAAATCACCGATGTTTTACAAGAAGATTTTAGATATAAGATATTAGACAGGCTCGACCAAGACAGAAAACTCACTCTTTTCCAACATTTAGGCTTTATACATTTCCCTATTAGAGAACACTGTCCAGCTTTTCCTAATTGTCAAGATGCCCTTATAGAACGTATTCTAGCGACCAAAACCCACCGACCAACCTCTTGGAACAATAGCAATCAGTGGTTGATTAGTTCTGAGAACAATCAACTTAACCTCCTCATTCTAGGACTGAATAATTTGGCCGATAATTTAGCTAGTAAGATTAGGAAACAATGTGATGACGATGAATACGAAATAGATTGCCAATTTTATAATTTAGACTATCGAGTTATAAATGGGGATGTTAGTTTGCCTCACAATTCCTTTAGGACTTCGGATTTTATACCTCACGGTAGTTTTTGTGTATATAACAACGCGCAGTCTTTTGAATATATACGAGAAAGTTTGGAGAAGAAGTTACTTTCTAATTTAGAACAGGACGATAAATTACCTTTCCAAGGCTTACCGATCGTCTTGATGTTCTTGCAAGATTCTTCCATTGACGAAAAGGAAGTGTTGAGGCTAAGAGAAGACGGTCAAAATCTTGCCGACAATTTACAATGTCCCTTTATGGATATTTGTTTAGAGCAAACCACAGAAGAACAACTTGTTCACGATTCTCTTCATCAGCTAATGCAGAGCATTCACCATCGCGCAGGCTTCTTAAATATCAATCAATCTGTCATTGAATGCGTTGAGCCTGATATTAGAATTATTATGTGCATGTTCTGTGGCGATCCGTACTCTATAGAAAACATTCTAGGTCCTCTTTTATCACATCAAGTATGTTTCTTGTCGTCGTCACACAGTATCATATTGGAGACATTTTTGGGCGATTCCAAGAGAAAAGTAGAAGTAATAATATCATCTTTTCACGGTGCTAATGCTTTTAGAGATGAACTGGTTCATGGCTTTATTTTAGTTTACTCCACCAAGAGAAAAGCTTCGTTAGCGACACTAAATGCTTTCTCTATGAACATTCCCAATTTGCCCATTCAGATATTAGCGGTTACTGATGATGGAGGAGCAACGGCGTTTTTTAACGACGATTTGAGCCAGTTACTCATCACAGAAGGCAATTCTACAGCAGATAGGTTGCATGCACATTTTATGACGTCCTCTAGTTCGATGCAGCATAAAACGGCCTTTTTTACGCCATTTTTTAAAGAAGTTTGGGAAAAGAAACCGGAAATTGAACAAGCTTTCCACATGGAAGAGCCGTCTGGATTAGACAGCGGCGAGGGTACTTTAGAAAGATCGAAAAGTCAAAGACATGGACATCCTTTGCCTCCTCCAAGGCACGAGAGTTACTATTTAAAATTGAACGATGGCAGCGAAAGCGAAAACTTTGAACTCAGTGGCCCAGACGAGAGACTTAGTTCCAGTGATCATAGTGATAAATTCTCAAGTGTTTATATGTACGGAAGCGAAGGTAGCGAGAAAAAGAGAAGTATGCATTCCGGTTTCCACGTGTATCCACCACCTGCGACACCACCAGAGCCCGCGCCTCCAGACAATATACTCAACGTAAGACATTCCAAGAAACCATTACTGTCCACATCTCAAACTAGTTTAGAAGAGGCTCCCTACGGAGATCATCCAATGTCTATTCCCGGAAGCGCTTGGAATAGTTATCAGCAGCACGCATTTACTACGGGTCGTAGACACATTCCAGTATCTAAATCTCGTTCAAAAGGTATTTCACAGACTTTAAAACAGCCGGGTAAACTGAATATGAAAAATTATTCCGCTGTGACGGAAGCCATAGCTAGAATGAACGTGTCTGATATGTCTTCACCCAATTTCGGTAACGCCCCTCTCGCCACTCCGGAAGCTGTGGACTTAGGTTGTGAATATGCTCAAGTTAAGGATCTTGTTCATAACATATATCCGGGCCAGAGCCCTGAATATATGTACACCATGGTACAAGACGCCATTAATACCAAATCAAAGTTGAGACAAAGAAGAGAGAAAGGCCAACCATCTTACTCTGACACAGATAGCGAATGGAGTAGTTTAGAAAGAAGGCAGCGCGCCAGTGAAATCTACTCGAAGGTTAGTAGAAAAGGTGGCACCCATAAAAGACAACGAAAGAAAAGAACCGCCATACCGGTACAACCCCCACGAGTACCACAACTCGGTTCGTTCACGCTTCCATCCGTACATACCCCGGTGTCAGACGTCGATAACGAGAAAGTTGCCTTGGCTACCGATTCCAATTCAGAGTCAACGGACGGCAGCGAGCCCGAGCAGTTTCCTCCGCCAACTAGCTCTGACATTCGTATGAGATTCTCTCAAAAGCGGTCTCTTAGTTTAAAGAAAAGAATGCCAGAAGCTGCCAATACTCATCACTTTAATATTCAGCTGAATTCGATGGATATGTATCAAAGTCAAGGTTTACTACACGATGATGAATCTAGTTTAGACGTTTCTTCTCCTAGAGATAACAATTCCCCGATGTTCGGAGTGTTGCCTAAGATGAAAGAGTCCGACTTGGAGAAGATACTTCGTAAACGAGAAAAGCAAAAAGCGAAAGATGATTCCAAGCTGGAAAAACGTAGATTGAAAGAAGAAAAGTTACGAAAAGTCGCCGAAGAAAGAGACAAGAAAAAACAAAAATCCAAGCAGAAACCGGCACCATCCAAACTAGCCGATTTTATTCAATCTGATAAAAATTACGTTCCCAGTTTTATGGAAAAGTGCGTGAGATTTATCGAAAGTGAAGGTTTAGATTCGGAGGGAATATATCGAGTTCCTGGCAATAGAGCTCATGTAGATTTACTCTTTACCAAATTCGAAGAAGATACCAACGTCGATATTCGTGATCTAGACATTCCTGTTAACGCTGTAGCCACAGCACTAAAAGACTTCGTAAGCAAAAGACTCCCACCGCTGTTCGAACCCGAGGTTATGACTGAAATGGAAGAAATTGCGGGAACTCGATTAAAACCGATGGTAACAACTTGCGGTAATCTAGAGGTAAAGAATGATCGTAGCTGCAGATTGCTGGCTTTGAGGAGTATGCTCGACAAATTGCCTCCTATAAACTTTCAGATATTGAAATTCATCTTTCAGCATTTCGTTAGAGTGACCGAGAATTCCAAACTGAACAGTATGGATAGTAAGAACCTAGCAATATGTTGGTGGCCTACTTTATTACCGATAGAATTTAGTGACATGGGCAGATTTGAGCAGATGCGACCGTACTTGGAGGACATCGTCCAGACGATGATCGATCAATATCCGTTTTTGTTTTGTGGAAAGGAGGCTTTTGTAATGGTTTAAAAGCTTATAGATATAAAAACCACGCACAATTCGCTATCATTTAGCCTCTGTTCGGTGTTTCGCCACCCATTGTTGTTAAATTGAGAGGCCTTTTATGTTAATTTAGGAGAAGAATGGGTAGAGCAAAGAGTAAGAATGTTCCACTAATTGTTATTAATGGTGTGATGACCCAGTGGTAATTTGTATTTTTACATTATCCTAGATGGAGTATTTCAAATTGCTGTATGAAACTTTTATAAATGAAACGTATGAACAATGTTCAGTGTACTTTGACTGGGTTGTTGTCTTAGAATAGTCAATGTTGTATCTTTTTCAAATATCAACGAGAACGTAGCTCTGCTACTTTGTCCATTGTTGGAAATTTATTTTGAGTAAAATCGACACTTTCAACTTACGGGACGATTTTTTACAGAAACCTATAACTGCTCGAAGGTTAAACAAAATCTTGATTCAAAAACTACGAAAATATATTTAATTTTCATATTGAAACTTTTTCAAAATTACATTTCCCAAACCAAATAATTTTAAAACAGTCATAAACTTATATATTTTGCTTTTAAGAACCAAAAATTCACCAAAGTGAATCCGAACGTATTTGATCTTGATTGACCCCGACCCTCCATACACAACCCCACCCCCCACATCATCGAAAACCATCATACCCGGACGCCAAACAAACCCTATGAAGATCTGTGATAGTCCACCAGCAGTCGGTAATTGGTGCTGCCCTCTTTCGGACCGTTGCTCCGTTTTCCGTCCGATGTTTTTTGTACAAAAATCAGAATTGTCATCGCTAGTGCGCATCGTCCCGTCTTGATTGGCCAATCGACCTGGAAATACTCATATTGACTCACAGACGTGTTTAAATAAAGGTCTATTCTCATTAGACGTGCCAGGCCCGTGCTCGTCACCTGACCGGCATATGCCATGCTTTTGGTAAATATTCACACTATTCGCGCTCGTGGCATGGTTTGAGCGGTATTTTGCACAGGCAGTTGGTTAGACGTGTAGGTGGGTAGTTGTGCAGTTTTCCACTGCAACTTTAATAAAAATTGCATTTTTTACATTTGAATGTAAAAAATGCAATTGAATGCAATTGAATGCCGAAGAAAAAGAGAATATATGAGAGATAAAGATAAAAAAGGAGGTTTTGGATATATCCAATGATTAAGAAAAGAAAAATAGAAGAACCTTGTATAAAGAACTCATGGATGATGAGTCAAAATTTTATATATATTATAGAATGTCAATTGCCGAATTTCAGCAGAATTACCAGCAGAATACGATTTTGAACAAATTGCCAAAAAATTTTGGTTGTCGTGGAATTTTCCCAACGCATTAGGAGCCCTAGATGGAAAGCACATCGAAATTAAGCACCAATCAATAGGTGCTCCAGCTACTTTAACTACAAAAAGACTTTTTCTATAGTTCTACTTGCTTTAGTAGATATGTCGTTCGATTTGCTCTAGGAAATCACGATAAACCATTTTTGCCCTTAAAAAACTCACTCCCTCCATTTTCCGAACTCAGATCGCCAGTAAATTATCTTTCTTTTTATTTCTGTCATCTCATCTTTAATAGTTAAACAGTAACTAAAAATATTTGTTAATGTGATTTCTCTCTATAATGATAGTACACAATCTAAGATGAACACCCACAGATAAACAGATTAACACTTTCTTGGTTTGCGAATTAAATATTGATGTTAAACCGTAAAGTTTTTAAATCAACTGTGTTTGGATGCTGCCAAGTTCTAAAAGTTGTGAAAATTTTATTATAAAAAAATATGACAATAATATTTAGCATTATTTTCAATTCAATGACCTTTCGGCGTATACCAGGTCAGAACTGATAAAGTGAAAGAGTCTGTTTCGTGTTCGAGGTCGACAGCAAAGAACAGTCTCTTTATTTTCTAAAAAGTATACTTGGGGGCCTTATTTTTGTAGTAACAAAAACGATGTGTATATTGTCAATTATATCTTGAGTATATATTTGCTAGGAAGGACGGTGGACTGATTTTTCAATTCAGTTTCGTGTAGGACAGACAAGGCCCCTTTAAAACGTTTTTGTGTAAGTTGCAGTCAATTTTTAAGCATTATAGGAGATTTTTAAAAGAAAAATGCATTTTTAATACATGCTGAAGATTTAATAATGTTTCCATGGAAAACGATTTTTTTATACGTTGTTCCAAGTTTTTAAAGGTTTATTTTTGTAATTGGGAAGTTTACCCTACTTTATTTCTTTTAAAGTTAACTGCACGTTGAAGATATTCAACATATGTATGATTTATTGTATAAGGTACGGTACAGCTATAATATTCTCAATTGATAGCTAGAACTAAGATACCATCATATCTTGGAATCGAATTGTTTTCAATGGAAACTCTTTAATATCGTCTAACGGGGATATGGGATGAATCTGGTAAAGAAAGGTTGAGAAATACTTGCTGCATCTAAACACTCAGCCTTCGAGCAGTTAAGTTGCGTACGAAAATTTGTCAGTAGTTTTTGAGGTGTGGTCCTCGAAAGAAATATGATTATATTTAAAATCTAATACAAACGCAAGACTGAGTCATTGATATATGACTTGGAGTGCCAATATATATATTTCTAGTCTGAGCAATTATGACAGTTATTTGTTTAGCTTTTTATGCGGATTGGTTATAGTGAAGTTATATGTCTCTGTTAGTTTTCTCGCCTTTTTGGTTGAAATAATACTTGAATTGTATTGGTTTTCTCATGTTTTATACGGTAAGTACGATATAACAAACAACGTATCATATTATTGGCGTACTGAAACCTGGTTTGGGTTCAATTTCCTTTTATTATGCAAACTAAATCCCTGAAATAAGTGTTGATTCCACGAATAAAAAAGAAGAGAACGTGGGAATGTCAATAAATAAATAAATATACTGAGAAAGTAACATCCAAGTACTTATAATCGAAGATACCAGTATCTTATAACGATAACGCCGTCATGGCTTGCCAGTCGCTAGCCTTTCTCTGTGCGTCTGCATTTCCACAAACAACCGACCCTACCATGAATGCGCGATGGAGATCGAACACTGGTCAAAAGTATAAAATGCCGTGAAGTACGATGAGAACTAAGTTTGATATGAAGTATTGATCTTACAAGAAATTCTACCTTAGTCTCTGAGTACTGATCGGAGCCCACCTTCTTTTCCAGCTGAGAGCGTATATTGATCCACCGCTCTTCGGTCTTTGGGTATTGACCAAAGATCTTCCTTTGTTCAGCCCATCGGAACGCCGCTCGCATAATTAAACTTGCGTTTCTACCAAGTCTAGTATCTAATAGAGCTTCCTGTCACGATATAAGGTCCCATTTTAGAAATCTTATTATAAGTACCACCCAAATCGTAAAAAGTCTATTACCATCAAATTTTCAGTGTCTTTAGGGATTATCTGTCATGACCTGTCTGACAGTATTATAAATCACAATTTCCTTCCTCACAATCTTCTAAATCCTATTACCTTAGGTCATAATACTTATTGTACTTTACAAGTAGTTATGGTAAATTCTCATAATACCACAATTGATATTAGCCAAAAAGGTCCTAGTAATGTGCACCTAAGAATGTGTATTTTGTATACCATATTATGAAGGGTTATTTTTAAACAAATAGGAAATAACGGGAACATTTTTAATCCTCTCGAAACTGATCTGGCGTATATAAAACTCAGCATGTCTTGGGAGGAACAAAGCGACGGACTCAAATATGTTGAGTTGAGCTGAGAGTGAGTGCTGAGCAACGATGAGAATAACCTTTCCTTTCGCAGGAAGTAAATAGGGTTAAAAACTTATGAAGTGAACAGTTAAAGCCTTGGGTTTCTCGGTAGGAGGAATTGTCTATCTTGTATGGAATACGTCTAGACATGCCCAAGGAGTCAACATTACATTGAATGAAACATTCAACATAGAAAAACCACTGATAGTATGAAACCGACTCCTTTCCATTTACTGTACCGGGCAATTGGGTTTTTACATCCCCAGAACTCCTCAAATGCGCAGACACTAACTGTACTTTTATAACCACCAGGAATTGTTCCCCTTGTAACTGAAACCGCCATACAGACTGGACCTGGATTGGAAAACCTGATACTCTCCGATATTGAGTATTGGGATATCGCGCATGTCTATATTTCTATTTCTTCCATTTCTTGTAGTCTACAACTATAGTTAATATAATTTTTTGAACAGATATCGTGTCTGCTTTCTAGATCGTGATATAGAATTGGTCTTTTTCTTATCCTCAGTGGAGGCATGTAGTTACATGACAATATTTTACAAGACTAATATTTTTAGAACTTATAGAGCTTTTTTTTATTCTGAAGGAGTCAATTATTGTACGGAATGCCGGATTGATACTGAATGAATCCTTACCACTGTCAAAATATAGACAATTCGTCTAAATGTATGAGAAAAATTAAATAAAATTTTTGTGAAGTGAGCAAATATTTCTAAATGTTCCATTTGACTTATGTATTCATTTGCCAATACTATTTATTATACATTACAACATTTTTCAAAATAGCTTTTGGATTTGTACCAAAATATGTAGGAAACAATTTAATTCCAATATTATTTTAAAGTGAAGGCGAGACAACGTGAAAATATCGATACGTCCAGTAACACAGAAATGTGCAGAGTATACAAAGAATATTTCAGATGTATAGGTTTGTTTAGTAACTTCATTATACTGGCAAAGATTATAATGCCAGGAGTAGGTTAACTATATTTTTAATATTCATTCCCGCTATCCAATGCGTTCTTATTAATTTTGTTTTTCAATAGAGCAAAAGGTGTATATTTCTTTAAGAATTATCTACCGAAATATGAAAACAATGTACACTCTGGACCAAAATTAACCGGTCACCTTAAAAATAGGTAATTTTTGATATCTTATATATATATATATATATATATATATATATATATATATATATATATATATATATAGTAAACCTGTTGTCCCATTTAAGTGATTTTCTTAATATGTTATAGCCTTATTCCTTGACAATATCTTTATAATAATATTCTTGCTAAATAGGTAAATTTTCATTATATACCGGGTGTACGAATCAAACTGTGTTTTTTT